TCAGATGAACAGTGTATTTGAAGTATTGTCAGGCACTTTCGAGGGTTGGCCATCTCGTAAAGTGCATGGAATTTCAGATTTTCACCTATTCCTAAGCAAAGAGAACTCCTAGGAGTTTGTTTGGGTCTATTTCAATCTTAATATCTATTGATCGAAAGCTGAAATCGATCTGATGGAGGACTTTTTACGATTGTATTGCAAACAAGTTGAATATATTCAAATCTCTACTGCGCACTGGATGGTCTTCCGTATCTTGCCTTTATTATTCGTCAATATTCATTTACATTACATAACATAACATTTTAGACAGCTCTGCATTGGAAGAAGAGGTAAAACTGAATGGCCTCCACGGTTGCCACATTTGATTCTTTGTCTGGAAGATACTTGAAAAGTGGAATCTGTAGAGCACAATCAAAATCTTCAGCGACCAGTCATCAGTCTGAACATTGATTCACCGAAGTAGTAACTGAGCGCCTGAAATTCTCACAAATGTGTTTGGTGGAATTTGAAAAATCGAATATAATTGTGAAAAAAATTCTGTTTCAATTCCGACGCAGTCCCTGGTATACATTATACCATTTCATCATTTACATATAGTTACCTGTCCAGTTGGCTGCTCCCAGCAATAAATACAGAAAGTAAAAGAGGCAGAAAGCAATTTCGTTTTCTTCAGCCTGAAGTTCGTTGGTCTGAGTTTTTCCTCGATACCATTGATGGCGTGTGCAAGAGGGTAGGTAGGTCGGTTGATCTAAAGTAAGTGGTTCTATTCAAGCCTGTGACACGTAACGGTTACAGTGAAGAGAACTAATCCAAATAAATTGAGCTTCTCAACGAAGCCGTTTACTTTATGTGGTGAGTGATATTTCAAGTCAACTGTCAAGAATGGTACTGATTCATTTAACGGTAAGACGGTCACAGATAATGAGATTAGCTACCAGGGCCTTAATTTTCTTGAGGAGAATAATTCACTCTACGGTGGAGAAACCTGGTACATTTTCCCCAATCCAGTGACGACCAGATCGACGGTCAGTAAGCGACTACCTTCGTCAGGTAGGAGCAACAAAACTGTGAGGCTTGGAAAATAGGTTTGCTGTGATGCATTTCAGGGAGATGGCCTCCCATGGCTGCAGGGAACTAACTGTACCCACCAGCAAGAAGACGTTATTCTGATTCTCTCAAGTAACCTGTATTCATCCAGGCCAAAATGTGTAGCTATGAATTTATACCTGTGGTCCATCTTCTACGACAATTATAATGAATATACCTGATGATACATTAGATTTAGCCATTCCAGGTGTATTCTACACTGGTATGGACAAATCTCCTTTGAGCGTAACAGTTTACTGACCTGGGAGAGTTTGTTTCCTCTTTTGATGCAAACTCTGCTGCTCAAAAAATTGATGCAAAACGGATTCTTAGGATATCATGCTTCGAAACATGGTTGCTTTCTGATTGCACCAGCTAGCCTCTCAGGTTTTTTGATAGAATTGAGAGTTCCTAACTATGAAGTTCTTGCTCTTGATTCGATATTACAAGTAAACTCATGGTCAGGTTCTTTGGTTACTTCATGGCTCATGAAAATTTCTCGAGCAGTAACATGTAACCGTCATTAACATGACCAGATGGCTCTCAGTATTTCGAAGGTTCTGTGTAATAATACTGAGTGAGCTCAGAGTTATACATCCTTTTGGTACGGGTACCCACACCTTAGAATGAGGGTCCTTTAGGAGGATTCTTACCTCCTCAGGTGACACTCCACTCCGGAGAGACATTCTGATTCCTGTCAATGAGGATTTTCTTCGTGAAGGTAACAGTCATTGCTATTTCTCACAAACTGATATTTCAATATCTATTATAATTATTGATGAAAGAGCCTTCTGATGAGACGTGAATTGAGAAGGTGGCCCAGAGCCATGAAAGATAAAATAGGATAAGAATTCGAATGAAACCATCAAATGAAATGACCATTTCAGGTCATTTGAACAAACAGCTAGTTGATAGTAAAAAATTAACTAGAGGATATCAAAATTAAATTGTTACCATAAATCCAACTCCGCTCTGAAATTAAGATGCGCCGTATGACACTGTTTAGACTGCTTGAATTAAGTGCTTCAAGATTAATTAGAAGTGAGAAAGTGTGTTTTATTGTCGGGCTTCCTCATTTTTAATTATGCTCAGGCCTTTTGAATAGGTATGCTTTTAAGGACGAAGCCGGGTTATTAATATGGAAGTTTTCTTAAATGCGAGTTTTGTGTTTCTCTGTCGAGCGTATATTATTCCGAATAAATTTTCATTTATTCGCCCTAAAATTTTTATGCTGCGAATATTTTGTGAAGTAGATTGGTTTTGCTGAAGGTCATCGTTTCTGATGCATGTTTCTAGGGTATGAGGTGTGCCACCAAAAACGTACTAATCCAGTGATACTAGTCAAAATCGGGCAAGTATCTCAGAACCGGAAATAGTCAGCTATGCACTTGTACAAACCTTCATTTTGGCACTTTAAAACTTGCCTCAAAACCTACTTATCGTAGGGTAGCCGCGACTATAGCTGTTTACGGTCAAAAGTAAAAAATATCGATCACATAAATATTGTGGACAATTGAATTCTCTACAATTTCTGTATGAAAAATGTTTTATATCTCGAACCATTTTCAAGATATAAGGCAGAGAGCGCGCACTGTTCAACTACGAGTGTATAGAAATTTAGAGAATCATTCGGTGGTCTCGATTGAAAACACGCCGTGTACTATACGTTTGGGATGAACATATAATTTTAAATGATTTGCATTTTTATCAACTATTACGAAATATTTAATGATTTTTTTCATTAATTGAATATCTATTTATTCAATAACACTTACCTACTTGTGTAATTGAAAAGTTATCAAGGAAAATACTTTAATTAAATTTAAATTCTAATCTGATTTATACCTATAACTCCGTAACTGAAAAAAATTTAATTTTTACCTATAGACAAAAAATTAAAATTCAAATTTCCTTTTTCATCATTGTTTTCAACTCGCTGTATAATTTCAAATTCCTCTTCGTTCTTCTCTTCAACGATAATCGATTCCAGGATTCCGGTAGATAAGTGTTCATTTCAAGGCAATAAAACGATAAAATTTTTTTCAACCTCGTTATTATTTAAACCTTAAAGCGTATACCTTAAAGCGTATACCTACGTAAGAGAATCATTTGAGAAAATGTGCAAAATGTTCCGCTTGAACCTCCTAGCGGTGAAACAGTCTATTTCTAAACTCATTTTGCAATGTGTAAGGGATAATCTCAGCACAAGTTTCGGTACTTCGTCTCTTAGTTCTTACATTGTCCCAGGTTCACACAACGGAACGATTTTAATCTAATTCTCTAGCTAAACTTCCAGTTGTTTGAATTTTTTCTACCGATTCCCTGAAATGTTTTCGGCAGATCAGATTATCAGGAAATCTTACAATGAAACCCCTTTTTTTCCTCATGATAACTACAACCGGCTTTGACGTTAATAAGATCTGCTCCCGTTTTTCTCTTTAAAGATCTAGCGAGGACTATTTTTGACAATTTAAACAAAATGAAATGAAGCGAACACTCAGTATCAATAATGGCAGCTGTCAAACTAACAATAATCTTTGTTACTAGGAAATGAAAACAGAAATGGGTTTCCAACTTTGGTTAAATTTTATACTGAATTTGATTATTTTCCGTTGGCAATTTCTTCATTTCACAAATTACAAACTCTATGTCACCTGTGATCTTCCAGGATTGACTCACTCCAAGGCGTTTATTCATCCTTCGAAGCTTGATATCAAACAGAGTTGTTGGACTACAGTAGGGATGACTTACGATGTCTAATAGGCCTCCTTACAGGTCGTTGTTATTTGAATCATCATATGCAGAGTCTCTGATTGTAGGAAGACAGTGTGAGTCACCTCTGTTTGGAAAATGATGAAACAGCAGAGCACATACTTTGTGCCTTGCCCGCTGGGGACCGAATCAGGTTTTCAGAGTTCGGTAGAGCCGTACTCTTACCATCTGCCCTGAAAGACTACTCACCATACAAACTAATCGGATTCGTTAGGAAGCTGGGTTTATATGGTCGGGTGTGAATAGGTGTTAGCCACAATAAACCCTTGCGGGTTGCGGTGGAGGTCGAATAGACCAACTCACTTTGGTCCTAAGCTAACCTGTGATATTCAACTTTGGAGCTGTTTCAATCTTCTTTTGGTTGCGAAGTTACGAATTATCATTTTCCCTAGTCTCCAATTCACACAATTTATAACCGCAACCGGTTATCCAAATTCAAAACAGTGAAAGTCGTTGTATACAGAATTGAAATACCCTTTTCAATTTGCAACAACTGATGTTCCACCATAGGGTTTTTTGTCAAAAAGTACTGAAATTGATTTTTTTTCATACAAATTTTGTCCGACTTCCCCCTTCAAAAGTTTGAAGAGGCGTTAGGAGGCTATATAAGCATTATTTAACGCTTATGAGACGTCGGAAATTCGGACTTCTGCCCCCGAAAAAATATATTCTCAGTCCCTCATTTTCAAGATGAAAATCAAACGTTTCCTTCGTACAGAATTTCGGATACCAAAAGAACAGTATTCTAAAAGACGTTATTATGATGCTGTCCTTTATTTTCAAGATGTAAAATGAACATTTTTATTATGTATAGAAACATTTTTTGGAATATTTGATTATTGTAATGACACTGTTGATTATTTACGAGTCCATTCCAAACACCCCACCTCACCTACCTTCAAGATTACCGCCCCGCAGCCCAACCAACCCTTCTTCTTCCGCACTTTATTACCGACAGAATCAGCGTCCAGCAAATTAAAATCAAACAAGTATCATTCGCGAAGCTAATTAAATTGTGTATCAGCTACCTGTATCGCCTCGAAATAACGACGCCGTTGTTTCGGCATCGCGACGGTGCGCACGCCGAACTTCATTGGTGCGTCGGTCGCCGAAGAGTTTTCAAGTCAGTTTGTCGAAAGCGCTCGACCGCAGAGCAGGTGTAGTTCTGGTGTACACCGGAAGCGCAACGTGTTATTCGTTTGTTTCGCGGGTTTGTTTGTTTTGGATTAGGGGTGGACCAGTTGAAGTGGTGTGTATATGTTGGAGTTTTTCGTGAAGTAAGCAGTACTTATTGTTGTTGTTTATCATTGTTGGACATATTTTCTTCTGAATAAAAAAATGTATTGCTCCTATTGTCACGAAATAAGTATTACTCTGATTCCTTCCAACTGATATAATCTATCTAATTTTCAATCGGGATGAAGAGTTAGCTATTGTCCCAAATTCCTTGGGCAAAAGTTTTTGATAAAATCGCGAAATCATCACTTCATTCTCACCTCAAAAATATAGTATTTACAAATATACCATTACGAAACTCGCCAGAGAAATCAACATATAGTACCTCACATTTTTAAATCGTTTGGTCAAAGGTCATACAGATACATTGCACCTAAAGTATATAATTCTATTCCTAAATTAATAAACGACATCAAAAACATTTTTACTTTCAAGAAAGAATTGAAAAAATACATTATGAAAATGCATAGAAAGGTAGTCACTGAAATAATCGAAGGAAAATGAAAATTGAATACCGATGTATCACTGTTAGCAAACAGGTATATAGATTATTGATATATTGTATTGAACTGAACTGTTCAAAAGTTTGATATTCGCTAAGTTGAAAATTGTGTTACTGTATTATACTATTCGTTTTCACATTTTCATTTCAAGGAAAATGAAAATTGAACACCACTTTAAATACATATGTCTCACTCTTATCAAGCAGAAATACAAACGATTGATATATTATATTAAACAGAACTGGTTGAAAGCTAAATAATCTTGAACTGTGTCTTTATATTGTATTATAGTGTTTGTTTTTTCATTTTATTTTATTTTAAGTATAATAACAAATTAAAATAGCTGTACATGTTTGATTACATTTAAGATTGAATATCACAAAGAATTTCACAAAGAAAACGTCGAAGATGACGTAAACTATTGAAAACTATAATGTAGAATAATTAGACCACTTAATCTCCTGAAGGCGCCAACTTGGTTGATGTAACGCACGTTTAAAAAAGTGTTGCAGTTCTAGTGTTTGGGAAATCTGTTTGTTCTGGATTGATAATCCCGAAATTTCATTCTCGATATGTGATGGCATTGACAGATACTCGATGAAAATCCATAACGCACCACTTTGGTTTGAAATTTTCACTGGACACAAAACCGCAACATGTTTTTCGCTATACATTAAGTTCCTCAAGCGTTTGCATACCAGTGCAGTTATAAACTCACAAACTTGAATAAAGTATATCCTCTCCCTTCTTTGATAGGTTGGCTATTTTTCTTGTGATTTCTAACTGAAAATGAAAATTTATCCTGTTTTGTGGATTTGAAATTGATATCTTGTTCGATTGATGACCTATTTACTTTTTAGAAATTCATATTGAATGAAGAAAAAGAAAATAACCTTTGTTCAATTTCTACTGAGTTTATTTTATGTTACGACCGGTTTAGATTTATTAGACCTTTTCCAAAAAAAATTGGAACGTGTTATTAGATCATATATTTCTTTAATGTAAATGTGATATTTTCAACAGAAAAAATGTTTACCAGAAAGTTTATTCTACAGTTGTATGATGTCGATTACTGCTGAGCCCAACTCCAAACATCACGACCCACTTCAGAAGTATCATTCGTGAAAGGAAATTATTATTTGTAATTACCAAATTCGACATGTTTTTAGATTTTCGAGAGAACATTTCACCCTGGAAAACTATCAGCACTTGAAAACTTCCTCAATTTACTTAGAATTGAAATTAATGTAATCAGGATGCTGTTATCATTATTCAAAATCTTCATCATATTTAATACGTTCTTTTCAAGACGTAAATATGATTCAGGTTATTTAACGTAGGTATATAAAATGTCAACGTATGGCCCCAAATGAAACGTATTCTGAATGATGTCATTGAAATACTGTCCATCATTTTCAAGGTGAAAATTGGGCATAGAACAATTAGTCTATTTCACCTCCTGAAGATGCGGTTTATTTCTTCTGAAGTGTCGTGTCTTTATGCCTGAAAAAGCTATTGTATAGCGAAAAATGTATTGCGTTTTTGTAAAACTGTTTAGTAAAAATCTCACAATGAAGTTTTTTTTTGAATATCTCATTTTAAACTTAATTTTTGTTTCAACAATCTCACCTGAATATTTCCATCTGGTATAATATTTATATTTCACTCATTTAAATTTTATATTTTTCTCCGTAGATTCAAATTTGTTAAAATACCTTTTCAGACAGCGTAAATCCGAAAATATATTATTTGTCTTCATCTCTATATCTACGTAGGTATTTCTATGGAATTTCTAAGACCTAGAAACAAAGTGTATAGTTCAAGTACACGATATAGCGCAACTTACCTTCCAATAGCTCCCCTTTAATAATATAGTTAGGGAGCTAACCAATTTTGTTATTCAATAATCATGTACATTGAAACATACTCTCTGTGTTTCAATATTCAAATGCATCATAATCTTATTTATTGGTATCTCTTTTCCACCATCACTACTGGAATCACTACACTGGAAAAGGACGCCACATTTCAAACAGATTACTAATATCGAATTTCAAAACTCAAATCGCGATTAGTTCCTGAACTGAACATTGATGACACAACGGCGATAACCATCCCCACATGCCCCGATTTCTATTCGTCACCGTAACATGGCTTCAATTTAATTTTAGACTCTTTAGCCAATCATGAAACTCGGTTAGTAAAAATTATCCAATACGAACCGCCAATTCTACAGTCCATTTTTTATTTTATTTTACATGTATGAAATATACTACAGATACATACTTATACTAAATATTACCTAAAAAGAACAATTTGGCAGTACCACAGTAAAACACGGGCACTCATACTAATAATCTTTTTAAAATGGCTTTGAATGAATCCGATGTTTGTCCAGTGAATTTTAAACCTCTATTGCAATATACATTACCTAATCTAACAAAATATAATTCGTAATATCATTATAATATAGTTTATAAGGCTCAGGTTACAGTGTTCAGTCCATAACAGAGTATTATTTCGTAAAAATCCATGTTCATCTGTCTTGGTATATTCATTGATTTAAAAATGTATTAGAGTTTGGCTCTATATAAATGTAATGTTCTGGTATTCGTATTCCCAAACACCAGAACTGCAACAATTTTCGCGACACGCGTTTTTTTAACCAATTTGCAGCTTTAGGAGGTGAAGACGCCAACTTGGTTGGTGAAACGCGCATCGAGAGGAGTATTGCAGTTCTGGTGTTAACAAAAAGTGCTTGTTCTGGTTCTATTCTACGGTAGAGGTTTCGGTTTACGTTTTAACACTATTTCAGTCTAGATTTGTGGTACATTTCCTCGAAAAATCTTTGCAATGTTATCTTCATGGTTTTCACTATTTTAAATTCGATTTTTAATGTACGAGTCTCTTTGACTTTTACCTCACGTCCATTCTAGTTCTGGGAACTTCAATAAACAGTCTTTTGTAACGGGAGCGGGAGTTGTTGAAATAGATTAGGTTTTGTATATAATTCTCAATAATTCCTCTTGTACTATGATTGATTCTATTTTCCATATATACGACTTATAATCATTAACTGTAAAAAAATGCAATATGACATTATTACTCACATCTCTGTATTCCAGATTGTTAATACTGAATATCATATATTTGAAAAACTGTAACCCAACTGCCACTGGACAGTCCCAAAGAAAGTTTTTGGAACTCTGTAATTTGGCTGAAAGCGCCGTACGGAAGAAAACCTAGAAAGAGAGAGTGAAAATCTATAATTTTAAACTCTGGCAGGTCTATCTCATGAGATAGATCTGCCAGACTTCAAAATTATTCCCCCACTTCTCCAAATATAATTTGGAGAAGTGGGGGAATTATTCTACTATTTTATTTTTCATTCAAAGTTGACAATTCACAATCAGATGTTGTTCAATGACAGTTTTGACGAACAAACTGATCATATGATCATTTGAATTTTCCATTGCCCTCTTGAAGTTCTACTTGTCTTAAACTCTTTTGAGTATATAGATAATACAAATATGTCATATTAGTTCAAAAAATAATTTGAATGATTCTGTAGTAAAAAATGCATTGTTCACATACTCAATCATTTATCGTCTTCGTTGAAACTGAAAGTTACCGAAAGGTCGGAAATTAAGTTAGAAAACTAAGAACGCGCAAAAAATTTCTTCTAAGCTTAAGTCTTTGTGACATTCTTACTGTTCAAAATGATTGATAATACCGTTCATTACCCTTGAGTAATGAGTATGTCTCCACACTGGAAACCTACATCTTTCTTTCTGCATCTGGGGTCATTATCCTATATAAAGAGTGGTAATTACATCTATATAAAGATAAAACGGTCTGTAATTTATACGATCGATTTCAAAAAACTGTTCTTGAAGTCTCAATTCGTAACAGGGAAAAAGAAACGTCCGCTCAGAGAACCATAAAGCAGGCCTTTATGATTTATAATTAACAATTCAAGGCTAGAACGGCAATATTTGAAGGAAATCAAACGAATCGTCTCTCCTTGTTTGGAAAGGACTTTAAAAAATTCAATTAAAACTACAGCGAAAGATTTAATGAATCAATTCGAGTCGTAATGTTAGTGCTACTGCTTTAATGGCCACGAGAAGAATGCTACACGTTGATTATGAGTTCGGAAAACCGGCGGTTCGCGATAGTTATTTACGGTGGACGACTATGACAGGTCGACTCAAATCGGCCATTAGGAATTAAATAACGTATAATGTTCACGACAATGTCGCCATTAATTTTAACTGCCAAGCAATTACTTGTATAATTGCCATAATCGCAATGAAATAAATAGATCTAATTAGCGAAACAACTATCAAAGTTTCATTCGGTAGAAAGATCTGAAGCTAAGTCCTGTAATATCAAGGTGTCCGGTACTACAATGTAATATCGAGTATACAGTGCGTACAAACTCAAATCGGCACCATTGGTAACTTCTTTGTTATTGAAGATAGAAGTTTGGTGAAATCAGAAATCTAGTAGTGTTTTTTCTACTGATTCACGTTGTC